CTGACTGGAACTGAATTACAACACTTAATTTGAATTATAATGGTTGTGTAATCCTATTTATATTTAACGTTTTAGTTTGTATAGGGTGATAAGCACAAAAATTATATGTCTGTATATATTAAGTAATGTAACAAACAATATAATATAAGCAACATAAAAGCAATTTCAGTCAACACTGGAAGTTCAGAAATTTTATTTTTCTAAAAGAGGATGGGACATATTTCTCAATTTACAGAACCCTGCTTTATGATATGCATTAGTTTTATCAAGGATTTAAGAGAAAAGGAATGTAGTACCATGGTTCTCTGTTAATTGTCTTTTTGTTTGAGACAGAGTCTCGCTCTGTCACCCAGGCTGGAGTACAGGGGTGCAATCTCGGCTCACTGTAATCTCCACCTCCCAGGTTCAAGCAGTTCTCCTGACTCAGCCTCCCAAGTATGAGGGATTATAGAAGCCCGCCACCACGCCCGGCTACTTGTATTTTTAGTAGAGACAGGGTTTCACCATGTTGGCCAGGCTGGCCTCGAACTCCTGGCCTCAAGTGATCTGCCAGCTTTGGCCTCCCAAAGTGCTGGGTTTCACTTAACTCATGATCCCAAAATCAAATCAAGAAATTGATTGCAAACTAATGTTTTTTGCATCCTTGCTTCTGCTTTATTCCCCAGCTTCAAAGCTCAACATGGCAGGAATAGAGTGAAGATAGCCAGAAATGATGGGACGCACTCAGGAAAAGGAACGCTTTTTTTTTTTTTTAAACAGTCTCTATACTGAATTGTAAATGTTTTCATATTTTGTCTCAAACTGAACTGTCAGTTTCTGAAGAGATAGGATAGTGTCAATGCCTGTTACAACTGAGAGGTTTAATAAATATTTGCCAAATGAAGGAGTGAACCATTCCAGGTCATTTTCTCACTTAGCTTATTCTAGTCTGGTCCAAAGAAAATGCATCCAAACAATGCCTTAATATTATTATTTTAATTATATAAGACATACCTTATAAGAAGTGCACTTGTTGGCCAGGTGCAGTGGCTCACGCCTATAATCCCGGCACTTTGTAAGGCCAAGGTGGGCGGATCACGAGGTCAGAGATTGAGACCATCCTGGCTAACACAGTGAAACCCCATCTCTACTAAAAATACAAAAAATTAGCCCGGCATGGTAGCACGTGCCTGTAGTCCCAGCAACTTGGGAGGCTGAGGCAGGAGAATCACTCGAACCCGGCAGGCAGAGGTTGCAGTGAACCAAGATCACGCCATTGCACTCCAGCCTGGGCGACAGAGCAAGACTCTGTCTCAAAAAAAAAAAAAAAAAAAAAAAAAGAACAAGTGTACTGTTGACTCATCAAAGGGTCACAATTGATTATTAAGTGTCAAGATTCTTGGAGACTAACCTCTGGAGGAGGCTCTCTGAATGGTAAGAAACAATTCTAAGATGGTACGAATGGTATATTCAAATTTTCTAGAGAAATTAAAACATGAACTTTTGTCCCCTTTGCATTAAAATTATGAACTATAAAATAATAAGTACAACAACCAAGAATCAGAAAGTAATATGGAATTAAGATAAGCAGTACATTAAGTAGCAATATTAAAAGTATATTAAATTTTTTTTTAAATCCAATAGTTCACAAAAACGTAAAGTTTCCCTACCTCCCCTCCAATGTCATATTTTAAGAAAACAGATTTTTTTTTTTTTTCCAGTTTCTGGGTGGTACTAACTGAGAAGCCAGCAAACATTCCTAGCTTCATTCTTAAGAACTGATGAAATACATCTGTAAAAATAAACAGTTTAAAAAGCGGAGCTTGCCAAAAAAAAGAAAAAAGCAAAAGCAAACAAATTGTTTTTGTCATTTCCTCAATACTTTAATAAAGGAGAAATCAAAGTAAAATCCAATAAACTTTATATTACAAATTGCCTCAATTAACATATATGCGTACACACACAAAATCACACAACTGGGTATGAGGACACAATGTGACAAATGCCTTCTCCCATAAAATTTGATTTATGACACAGAATGCTATGCAATATTGTATGCATATGACAATTTTTCTTCTTACTTTTCTGTATAACTGAGACCTATACTGAGCCCTGAAAAAAAAAAAACTCCCTCTTTGTCAAAATCTAAACAAATTCTTACCAGGGGGCTGTTTAATGAGTTAAGTGAATTACTAAGCCACTCTTTCAATTTGTGCTTCTGCAGCAAAGAGACCTTTGGAGCTAGGAAAATAATTTTTGTTGTATCCTTTTTTTTTTGAGACGGAGTCTCACTCTGTTACCCAGGCTGGAGTGCAGCGGCACAATCTCAGCTTACTGCAGCCTCTGCCTCCCAGGTTCAAGCGTTTCTCCTGCCTCAGCCTCCCAAGTTGCTGGGATTACAGACACCCATCACTATGCCCAGCTAATATTTTGTATTTTTAGTAGAGACAGGGTTTCACCATGTTGGCCAGGCTGGTCTCAAACTCGTGACCTCATGATTTGCCCACCTTTCGGCCTCCCAAAGTGTTGGGATTACAGGTGTGAGCCACCACAGCCAGCTGTATTCTGGTCTTCTGGACAAAAACTAAATTCCTTCCCAACCCTGGTGGCAGGAACTGATGCCAAGCTAATGGAAAGTCTTGTAGAGATTGAGCTTGATCTCTAAGAATTAAAAAGAAACACCACCCTCCCCACCCCCGCTCCCCCGCACACATGTACACGACAAACCTCCATTCACCATGCTAAGGATTGAAAAAAGAAAAACATAGATGGGAGGTCTGCCACATAATATAAAAATAAAAAGTGTAAGACTAAGGTAGTATGCTATTCACATCAGGATCAAACTGAGAAATCATAGAGAAAGAAGAAAGAAGAGGGCAGGGAAAGCGGAAGAACCACTTTAGGGATATGGGAGAAAATATCGTGTAAATTATATTACAGAAGACAAAAACTTGGTGACCAAAAAAAAAAAAAAATTTGAGGATTAGTGCAACTAGAAGATTCCGACTGGATCTTGAGGGTGAGAGGAAAAGCAAGCTTGACATCAAGCTGAAGGCACAGCAAATCGCATGCAGACCATAACCCAGAAAATACATTTCATATATCTGTGTGAGGTCCTGGAACACTCTGTGTTATAACAGGCTTAAGATTGCAGAAATTGCACAGAATGACAAGTTGTTTGACCTTCTCTCTCTAATCTACATTTTGGTTGCTCTTCTAAGTATGCATTCAAAACTGCCCAATATTAAATGCACGAACAGAACTTGAAAGCTGAAATTCAAAGCACAAACTAGAACAATACCATTGCAGAAGACTGACCCAAAAAATGTTCTGGAAAAAAATCCAAACTGATAAGAATTATGATTCATGGTATTTATGTTTCATGACCCATTCACTCATTTTTGGAGTACTACAGTATAATTCACATCTTTATTACTGCAGAGTTGCACTAAATATTGAATCCCAGTTGGTAAAAATGCTAGCCAATACTGTCTTAAATTTGGTTCATCGACAATAACATATGCAAGATGCCTGTGTTGGTACATCTTATGTGTCAACTTGGCTAGACTATGGTGCTCAATTATTTGGTCAAATTTTAATCTAAAAGTTGCCGTAAAGGCATTTTGTAGATATGATTAACATTTACAATTGGTTGAATTTAAGTAAAGCCAATTACCATCCATAATGTGAGTAGGTGTTACCCAATCAATTGAAGAACTTAAAGAACAAAGACTGAGGCTCCTGGGAGAAGAAATTCTGCATCCAGACTACGAGGTAGAGAAGTTCTGCCCATTTCTAGGCTTCAGACTCGAGACTGCAGTATCAACTCTTATTTGAATTTCTAGCCCGCCAGCCTTCCCTACAAATTCCAACTTGCCTGCCATCATAATCGCATGAGCCATTTCCTTACATTCTCTCTCTGCATATACATACACACATATACATATTCATGTATATACACATACATATATATATACAATAACTTGAGATATAAGCATATATATAGATATACCCATATCTATATATACATCTCTATGTAGATACATTCTATATATATACATATGCACGCACATATATACTCTCCCTCTACATATATATATGTATACACGCATGTGCACATGTGTGCATGCATGCACACGCACACACAATAGGTTCTGCGTCTCTAGAGAACCCTAATACAATGCCCCAAATCATAACAAAAACAAATGTACTGCATTCATCCTAATATTATATAAATTTTATAAATTCAGAAAAACATTGTCTGCCATCAAATTTACGAAGTTTTCAAATCACTCAAAAAGTCTGCCCCAAACAATATGGATAGAGCCCATGAAAGTTCCCTCTATGGTTTATAGCTTTTATTACACATATTGAGAGTTTAAAACAGATTGCACCCCCTACAGGGGAACATTTAGTTTGCATTTCTACATTACATTTTGGAGCAAGTAGGTGAATTTTATTTACTCTACAGTTACGGAAAAAAATCACAAAGAGGATAAGATTGAGCTAAAGTGAAAATGGGTCAGTACACCTGTTTATGGGAAACAAAAAGACACCAATACCATGGAGAGTTTACAAAATGCTAACGGGCACCTGGCGTAAGTAAAGGATGTCATTTGTGAAAACTATGAGTCCTAGCTCTGTCAAAGCACCAAGGACATTATCTTATTTTCAAAGTGCACTTTTAGTACATTTGTTCTGAATCAAACACAATAGAGATATCATTTACTAATTAGGCCTTTGGCAAAGCAGTAGGTGACCTAATTAAACAAGAACATATAATAACATGATCTGAATAGGAGCACTTTAGAAACACAGGACTTGAAAAAATGTTTAATTGGATAGAAAAATAATTCAAAGTAGTTTTCCAAGCATGACCAGCAAAGGCAGTGAATAACAGATCTAAATTACGATTCATGGTATCTGCCTCTAATGCACAATGTCATTCGTTATGAATATTTAAGAAAACTATTTTCAAACAAATACATTACAATGGTATATTGCGCCTAAGGCCTCAAACTTAAAACCCAAATGCGTTAAAGGACAGGAGAATTGACAAAAATGTGGGAAGTTTCAGGTATAAGAAGAGGGTAAGGAGGCAGTGTGCATGCCCCGTCAAAAAGCAACCTTACATGAAAATAATACAACTTTGTTTCTTCTTAACAGAATACATCAGTGCCAGGCAGAATGCAACAAGCAACTGCTAGTTTCTAATCCTTGGACTAGACAATAGAAGTAAACTAGAATGGTAAATACAGGAATTATTAAAGAGAACATGGCCATAAATATCCAGGAAATATATACACTCAAAAAAGGAATTTATGTTTGATAAGTACATTATTCATAATTATTTATACATTTAACCCTAAACCAAAGCTTGTATCACATGAAAAGTGCAAAATTAGCTGCAGATGAATATCCCTGACCCAATTATACAAGACACTTTGGTAAATCTGTGTAGACTAAAGGCTCTAAGAAGGTAGTTAAATTTCAGAGGGGTAAAGGGGGAGAGAATTTCAGAAAACGGATTATAAAGGAATGAAATATTTGGAAGAGATTGGTAAAAAGGAGATACTTGAGAAGGTAAATCTAAGTCACTATAGAAAGAATGTTGAAGAGATGTGTCTTTACCAGCTGGGCCCTCTGTAGAAGAGTTGAAAATAACCCACAGCAATAGTGATGTGACGGCTGCCTCATCTGAGAAGAGAGATCAACTGCAGCCACCTCAAAGAGGTAAAACGTAGATGTGTAATAGGAGTGAGTGAGGAGAGAAGAATGCATAACTGGTATCATAAGAGGATATCCAAAGGTTTGTAAGAAACCAAGGACAAGAGCAGAAAACAGTAGGTCACGCTATAAGGAACCAAGTCTTCTCTTCCTTGCAGATAGTCTATCTGCTTCTCTCTGGGCATCATCTCAGATGCTGACTGCTTTTTCTGGATGTTCCCTCTCCGGGCCCAGACGCTGTCTCAGAATTTTTTAGACCAGCTCCCATGGGTTACTGGCAATAACCACCATGGCCCCTCAGACTTCACCCACCACATCTATGCAGGTGCTTGAGAATACACACTCCTTGACCTAAGAAAGCAAACTCTGTAGACATTTAAGGGACTTAGCAATTCAAAGGAGGGAAGCCAGAATGGAGAGATGGGCAACTTTTACCAAAGCCAAATTAATGGAAGAAACAATAAAAAAAATGTAGTAAGAATGTTTAAGGGGATTCACATGGAGGATAACTACAAAAATTGGAGGAGAAGCTGCCTATGAGAAACATGAAATCTGGGCTTAGGCTCCAAAAGGAAGTAAAATGAATAGCTAGTATTAAAAACAAAGTAGAGCTTGAGTGGCCAAGGCAAGATGGGTCAAAGTCAGAGTGGTGGTCATGGTCCTGGAGGTGGCAAGAAGGATGACAAGGACAAGAAAAAGAAATACGAACCTCCTGTACCAACTAGAGTGTGGAAAAAGAAGAAGAAAACAAAGGGACCAAATGCTGCCAGCAAATTGCCACTGGTGACACCTCACACTCAGTGCTGGTTAAAATTACTGAAGTTAGAATTAAAGACTACCTTCTCATGGAGGAAGAATTCATTAGAAATCAGGAACAAATGAAACCACTAGAAGAAAAACAAGAGGAGGAAAGATCGATCAAAAGTGGATGATCTGAGGGGCACCCTGGTGTCAGCAGGAACCTTGGAAGAGATCATCGATGACAGTCATGCCATCCTGTCTAAATCTGTGGACTCAGAACACTACATCAGCATTCTGTCATTTGTAGACAAGGATCTGCTGGAACCTGGCTGCTAAGTCCTGCCCAACCACAAGGTGCATGCCGTGATAGGGGTGCTGATGGATGACACGGATCCCCTGGTCACAGTGATGAAGGTGGAAAAGGCCCCCCAGGAGACATATGCCGATATTGGGGGCTTAGACAACCAAATTCAGGAAATTAAGGAATCTGTGGAGCTTCCTCTTACCCGCCCTGAATATTATGAAGAGATGGGTATAAAGCCTCCTAAGGGGGTCATTCTTTACGGTCCACCTGGCACAGGTAAAACCTTGTTAGCCAAAGCAGTAGCAAACCAAACCTCAGCCACTTTCTTGAGTGGTTGGCTCTGAACTTATTCAGAAGTACCTAGTTGACAGGCCCAAACTCGTACAGGAACTGTTTCGAGTTGCTGAAGAACATGCACCGTCCATCGTGTTTACTGATGAAATTGACGCCATTGGGACAAAAAGATATGACTCAAATTCTGGTGGTGAGAAATTCAGCAAACAATGTTGGAACTTCTGAACCAGTTGGATGGATTTGATTCTAGGGCAGATGTGAAAGTTATCATGCCCACAAACCGAATAGAAACTTTGGATCCAGAACTTTTCAGACCAGGCCGCAATGACAGGAAGATCAAGTTCCCCCTGCCTGATGAAAAGACTAAGAAGCGCATCTTTCAGAATCACACAAGCAGGATGACGCTGGCCGATGATGTAACCCTAGATGACTTGATCATGGCTAAAGACGACCTCTCTGGTGCTGACATGAAGGCAATCTGTACAGAAGCTGGTCTGATGGTCTTAACAGAATGTAGAATGAAAGTAACAAATGAAGACTTCGAAAAATCTAAACAAAATGTTCTTTATGAGAAACAGGAAGGAACCCCTGAGGGGCTGTATCTCTAGTGAACCACAGCTGCCATCAGGAAAATGGGAGATTTCTCCATCTCTGAAAGGGATGAGGTTGGTGGAGTTGCCCAGAGGAATCCCTGTTCCCATTGCTTTTTATTAGCAAAACATCCTGTGTCTTTTGGAGTACGATGTGTAAGTGCCCATTGGGTGGCCTTCATCTGTCGGTCACTGTGCAGCAGTCTGCTTCTCAATAAAGTGTGCTCTTTCACACACACACACAAAGTAGTAAACTGAAATATGAAACAAGGAAACTATCACATCACAAGGCAAAAATAATGAAGAAATACCAATCAGTGGTGAAAATATAACAGATATACAGGACAGATTGAGGAGGCCTAATAAGCAAATAGCACTTCCAGAAAGAGGAAAAAAAACAGAAGCAATAATCAAATAGGAAAACTCTGAAGTGATGAAAGAACTGAGTTTTCAGATCAAAGGAGCTCACCAAATGCCAGGCAGTTATAAGGGAAATAAAAGACACATTCTTGACATTTTTATGGTGAAGTTTTAAACTCCAACTAGAAAGAACAGGTCTTTTAGGCTTCAAGACAGCAAGAACAGGATATTTACTTATAAAAGTAAAATAATCTGGCTTCCATACTGGAACCTAGAATAAATACATAAACTTTTAGAAAACAGGACAGCATTCCAAGAATCTTGTGTCCAGGCAAGAGATAATCCCGGGGTGTTCAATCTTTTGACAGGCACCTATAATCCCAGCTACTCAAGAGGCTGAGGCATGAGAATCACTTGAACCTGGGAGATGAAGGTTGCATTGACCAAGATCGCCCCACTGCACTCCAACCTGGGTGACAGAGTGAGACTCTGTCTAAAAAAATAAAAAGAAAGACAGAAAAAAAAAAACTGACCATCATCATCAAATTTTCAACCTTTTATTCTTCAAAAAGACACAACCAAGAAAGTGAAAAAACAGCCCACAGAATGGGAGAAAATATTTGCAAATTCTGTATCTGATAAGGTTCTACTATTCAGAATATACAAAAACTCTCACAATTCAACAATTTAAAAAAGAGAGAACCCCAATTTTTTAATGGGCAAACAATTTGGATAGATATTTCTGTAAAGTGTGTATTCAGATGGCTGATAAGCACATGACAGGATTTTAACATGATCAGCCATCAGGGAAATACAAATCAAAACCACAATGAGATACCACTTCATACTCTAGAATAGTTATAATAAAAAAGACAATAACAACAAGTGTTGGTGAGGATGTAGAGAAATTAGAACCTTCATACACTGCCAGTGGGAATGCAAAATGATACCGACAGTTTCGGAAAGCAATCTGGTAGTTCCTCAAAAAGTTAACACAGAGTTGCCAAATAACCCAGCAATTCTACTCCTAGGAATACACGCTAGAGAACAAATAACATATGTCCACACACAAGTATGTTCATGAATGTTCATAGTGGCATTATTTGCAATAACCAAAAAGTGGAAAGAGCACAAATGTCCATCAACTAATGAACAGATTAACAAAATGTGGCATATTCCGATAATGTTATTCAGCCATAAAACAGAATGTATCACTGATACATGCGACTACATGAATAAACCTTGAAAACATTACCCTAAGTGAAAGAAGCCAGACACCAAAGGGCATATATTGTATGGTACCGTTTAAATGAAATGTCCAGAATAGGCAAATCCACAGAAACAGTAGATTAGTGGTTGCCAGGGGTTGAGGATAGGGGGAAACAGGGAGTGACTGCCAGTGGGTATCCAACTCAAGCCTTGTTGACAATTGCTCCATTTCCTCTATAATCTCATTTAATCTTCACAATAGCCCTGTATACAGTGAGGACATGTACATATATATATATATATGCACATACACAAATACACACACACAAACACACACACACACAATCATCTCCACTTTATAGATGAAGAAACCAAATATCAAAGCAATTAATTAGCCCAAGGATACACAGCTAGCAATTGAGAGATACCAAACTCAACTTCAGATTTTTTGACTCCATATCTTCCAACTGAAAACACACTTTCCTTTTCATGTGAGTGAGCAAAGCTGTATAAAGACATCCTTTCTACAAAAACAAATATAATTGAGATGCAAAAGAGAAGCTTGCAAGTTAAAGGAATATTTTGTGAACTAGGTTTACATATAAAACTGTGCTTAAATTTGAGCATGCCTCTGCACAGATGCTCAGTGCACATAGTTGGTAGGATTGTCTGGAGAGGTCAGAGAATAATAAGATGCAGAACCATCACAACAATCATCAGGCTCCCATCAGTGTGGCTCCCACATGACAGAACAGGGCAGTGGTTAAAGGCACTGAATCTGAAGCCAGGCTGCCTGGGCTGAAATCCTGGCTCTACTGCTCCCTGGTTCTTAAACCGAGGTAAATCCAAACTTCTCAACTCTATTTCCCTGACTTCAAAAATTATTTCTCCTATAGTCTTTTCCATTTTCCTAATAAGCCTAGAAGTGAGTCATCCTTGATTTCTCTTCTTCTCCATCCAAAAGCAGATCCAATCCACAATCAATCTTGGGAATACCATCTAAACCCAAAACTTACTCAACAGTTTGTTTTTCTCCACTTACACCAGCCATCTCTATCCTCTGTCATCCCTCACCAGGAGCTAGGCCTGTACTCATGGGTGTGTGGCCTCTGCAGTGGTTCAGGGCCCCTTACTCGGGACCCAAACTTAGTCTGATGCTCTGCTGTCACCATCCTGGAAATTTTAATTATCTTTGAACTTGGGTAAGTGAAATTCGATGGGACAGTGACGCATATGCATGAGCAGAGGAGACATGTGCCATGTGTGTCTGTGGTTCCCCACTATACCATGTGTGTATCGTATTCATGATGTCCCATGAGCACAGGATTTTAGTTGACCACAATGCATGGGAGCTTAGTGAGCCTGGAAGCCAGTGTGACGTTAAGATTGTTACATCTGCCACTCAGTAAGTGAGGAGTGCTCACAGGGCTGATGGGCCATGCTTGCCTTTCAAACCAGAACTGACTTTGAGCATAGAAAAAAGGCAATGGTGTTCTGAGAAACCTAAATGACCAAGGAACCCTATAATATCCTCTCTAATTTGTGTTACTTCCCTGTGTTAACCAACCACCGATGCTGAAAATGATGAGGGAAGGAAAGGGAACCCCACACGGCAACCCAGAGCTCCTTCTCCTTGCCCATCTCTTACCTATCAGGAAGCTGAAGGGGGAGAGTGATGGCAGAATGGGCACGAAACAAGAAGTGAAATAAAACAGTTGAGCTTGTTTTGTGCCGCATTTCCACAGTTCTGGTAAGAACAAAGTACATATGTGTGCACAAACTATGAAATAGGGGTTGGGTAATTTCAGTGATTCTGGATATGAACCAATTTTTTAAATTTATTGATTTCTGTTCATTTTTAAAAAGTCTTTTATCTCTAAAAACGTTCTTATTTTGCATTTAAAACCAGCATTGCACAGTATACAGATGAATGGTAAAATTCATGCTAATAATTTTAAGCTTTAATTTTTCTTTACT